AAGGACCCCAACGCTGCGATCCTCCCCCAGCCTCAGCCCATTCCAGAACATAACCAGTGTGAACTCGTGCCCTCGGAGAGGTCTCCGGAGGCAAACCAAGAACCTCCACATGGGTTAGGCTCAAGGAGCATCAGCATTATGAAGTCTTTGAGTATGGGAACCCGGGCTGTACTTAGACCCGTCTGGCACTTTCGAAAGCCCTGACACGGCTGACAATTTTTAATTGACTCGAATTTAGAAAAAAGATGAAGTAGAAGAAGAACCATTAAATGATACTTACCATTTTTTACCTGCTCTTTGTATCTTCACCCTTCATTGGCTTCTCTCTCTTAGGAAGACACGCAGGGCAGCTGTGTTCTGTCCCTAGCAAAGGCAGTTTCTCTATCAGCAGCTCGTGGAGCCCGGCTGCATTGTCAGGGTTCTGCCTAAGTGCAGTTTAAGGAGCATCTGTTGACATGAGGAATAGAAAAGAAAACCTCGCAGGGGCTATTTATAGCAAAGGTCAGAATCTGAAAGCCCGGCTTCCAGTTTGTTGCCGCCACCTGTTGCCTGAATAATGCCCAGCAAGTCTCTAACATTTTGTAGGCGCACTTTTCCCCTTGCAAATAAGAATAACCCCTCCATGACGAAGCTGTTGGAAGGATTTGGTGAAGATTGTATGTGAATGCATCTTGACAGTGCAGGTCTAGAGTGAGTTCTGACATCGAATAAGCTCATGTGACAGATTGGGGATTGTGTCCCCCCCAAACTTCATATGTTAAAATCTGATTCCTGGGACCAGCAGATGGTGTATAGCTGACCATGGTTCAAGTTCCAGCCCCAGTGGCTTAAAACTCTTGCTAGGCACGTGTAGAATGAGTTTTTCATGGTTTTCTCAATGACCATTCATTGTATAGATGTATAATTTATTTAACCAGTTTCCTTTTGAGGGATATATAGTTTGGTTTTCATCTCCAATTATTCTTGAAGGTATTGAAATAAAGGAGCTATCAAAACAAAACAACCCTCTGTTTGTAAAAGCTGCCCTATCATGTGCTTTGTTGCTAGGACTCATCATTCGTCCTAGGTAAAAGACTCGATAACTGTGTTGGATCTCTGCCTCCAGAACAAGAAAAAATCACATCTCATAAAGCTTAAACCGAAAATGATCTAAAACCCACAAAAAATGACGGTCAAATGTCCCTGCTCTCTTGCCGTCTCAGGCAACTGCCCCCAAGTATATGTCTTGTAGAATAGTTGGACATGTGTAATAGAAATGGTATTGCCTAGAGGACTTACCATGTGAACAAGAGAAGAAGCTAGCTCTCGGACACACAAAGGCTTCCTTCCTCTGCAGAGGCCAAGCAGTGGTCAAGACCCGAGATGCCGACTGGCCAGGGCTGTGATTTTGGCTAAGTGCGGGGTGTTGTGGATCCTGGGAGTGGGTCCTAGGACTTCCATCTCACTCCAACTCTGGAAAAGTAGAAGTTGACGCTGAGAAGTGCCTACTAAACTGAGCCCTAAGGAAGTGTTTGTGGGGAACAGGTCCGGGAAGGGTGGGATCACGTGGCGAGTCGTGTTCTAGGACAGGGAGTGGCAGCATGCCCGGAGACAGTGGGGCCCATTTCAGGGACTTCAAGACTATGACGGTCCTTCTGGGGCTGGGGAGAGGAGGCTGGGAAGGTCTTGGCGGGCCACTTATGGTGACTGTCTGTAAGTGGGAGGGGGTTTAGACTTAGGCTGTGGGAGGCCATCAAAGACCTTTCTTTATCAGGGTCTGGTTTGTGAAAGCCCTGACACGGCTGACAATTTTTAATTGACTCGAATTTAGAAAAAAGATGAAGTAGAAGAAGAACCATTAAATGATACTTACCATTTTTTACCTGCTCTTTGTATCTTCACCCTTCATTGGCTTCTCTCTCTTAGGAAGACACGCAGGGCAGCTGTGTTCTGTCCCTAGCAAAGGCAGTTTCTCTATCAGCAGCTCGTGGAGCCCGGCTGCATTGTCAGGGTTCTGCCTAAGTGCAGTTTAAGGAGCATCTGTTGACATGAGGAATAGAAAAGAAAACCTCGCAGGGGCTATTTATAGCAAAGGTCAGAATCTGAAAGCCCGGCTTCCAGTTTGTTGCCGCCACCTGTTGCCTGAATAATGCCCAGCAAGTCTCTAACATTTTGTAGGCGCACTTTTCCCCTTGCAAATAAGAATAACCCCTCCATGACGAAGCTGTTGGAAGGATTTGGTGAAGATTGTATGTGAATGCATCTCGACAGTGCAGGTCTAGAGTGAGTTCTGACATCGAATAAGCTCATGTGACAGATTGGGGATTGTGTCCCCCCCAAACTTCATATGTTAAAATCTGATTCCTGGGACCAGCAGATGGTGTATAGCTGACCATGGTTCAAGTTCCAGCCCCAGTGGCTTAAAACTCTTGCTAGGCACGTGTAGAATGAGTTTTTCATGGTTTTCTCAATGACCATTCATTGTATAGATGTATAATTTATTTAACCAGTTTCCTTTTGAGGGATATATAGTTTGGTTTTCATCTCCAATTATTCTTGAAGGTATTGAAATAAAGGAGCTATCAAAACAAAACAACCCTCTGTTTGTAAAAGCTGCCCTATCATGTGCTTTGTTGCTAGGACTCATCATTCGTCCTAGGTAAAAGACTCGATAACTGTGTTGGATCTCTGCCTCCAGAACAAGAAAAAATCACATCTCATAAAGCTTAAACCGAAAATGATCTAAAACCCACAAAAAATGACGGTCAAATGTCCCTGCTCTCTTGCCGTCTCAGGCAACTGCCCCCAAGTATATGTCTTGTAGAATAGTTGGACATGTGTAATAGAAATGGTATTGCCTAGAGGACTTACCATGTGAACAAGAGAAGAAGCTAGCTCTCGGACACACAAAGGCTTCCTTCCTCTGCAGAGGCCAAGCAGTGGTCAAGACCCGAGATGCCGACTGGCCAGGGCTGTGATTTTGGCTAAGTGCGGGGTGTTGTGGATCCTGGGAGTGGGTCCTAGGACTTCCATCTCACTCCAACTCTGGAAAAGTAGAAGTTGACGCTGAGAAGTGCCTACTAAACTGAGCCCTAAGGAAGTGTTTGTGGGGAACAGGTCCGGGAAGGGTGGGATCACGTGGCGAGTCGTGTTCTAGGACAGGGAGTGGCAGCATGCCCGGAGACAGTGGGGCCCATTTCAGGGACTTCAAGACTATGACGGTCCTTCTGGGGCTGGGGAGAGGAGGCTGGGAAGGTCTTGGCGGGCCACTTATGGTGACTGTCTGTAAGTGGGAGGGGGTTTAGACTTAGGCTGTGGGAGGCCATCAAAGACCTTTCTTTATCAGGGTCTGGTTTGTACTTGTACATCTCCCCCTGAAGCCAGGTGGAGAATGAACTGGAAATGGATGGGCTGCTATTTAGGAAGCCGTTGCAATAACCCGAGTGGAGGCGATGGCGGCCTAACTAGGGCATGATCGTGCAGGCAGGAGGAAGTCCACACTGAAGAGCTCTTTAGACAGTGGCGCCTGCAGGAGGTGGCGGTAGGTGCAGAAACACTTGGCCCTCTGGTTGGCACACTTGTTTACAAACATTTTGATCAAATGCTATGCATTTGATATTTTTAAAAGTTTATTTATTTCTCCCATGAGAGAAAGTGAGAGAGACTGATAGAGACAGACACCCCCAATGCGATCTTAGTGTTGCATTCCACCCCAGTTCCATCTGGCCCAGATCACAGGTATGCATGTGCACTTGGCATGCTCACGGAGGTCCCAGGGTGCAAACTCGGGCTCTCTCCCATGTGGGTCCAATTGCATCACCACTGTTCCATCACCTGGGCCGCATGTAGCGTGCTTATTCATGCACCTTTATGAACCTTCCCTTTTCTATCTTCTGCACAAACCCTGGAAGTGGGAATTGCTGAGTCAGTGAAAACAGAGACTTTGAAATCTTGTACTGACGTAGTCGAATTGCTTACAGAAAGGCTGACTTACCCGTTCACGTGTTCAGTAGCGGTTTAGGTGCCCCTTCAGCCTCACTGAGTATTGCTACTCTGAGGTGACACCAGTGGCTCAGGCAGAAAACACGTACCTGTTCCGTTTTAATCCGCATTTCTGTGAGTGCTGGTGAAGCCAAAGCTTTTTCATGTGACAAATGATATTTCCATAAATCGCACGTGCGTGATTTCTGTTTTCCTCCTGAGTGCTCTGTCCTCTTGATTTCTGAGGGCTCTATATTTATTGCTTAACTCTTCGTCTTTTCTACTCATTACAGCATTTCTGTTTGTGCTTTCTTCTGTTTATGCTGATCAGGAAGTTTTGTTTTTGTTTTGCTTTTTCATGTGCTGAAATGTTTCGTTCATGTTTGCTGCCTTTGGTTTAGTCAAGGAAGTTCTTCCTCAACCCTAGGTTGTATAAACATTGGAATTTAATTCACTGGATGCTCATTTTTACCTTTCATCTTCAGTTCATTGGGAGTTTTCAGATATAAGATGTGTTGTAAGAATCTACTTTTTAAAAGTTCCCAGAGGTTAAAAAGAAACATTTCTTTTCTGAACCCCAAGCCAGGACAACCTGGTCTAATAAAGACTTCTTAGGCAGTTTGCATAGGGAGGCGGTCCCAAAGATGAGAAGCAGAAATACTGGAATTTCTGAAGCATCCGATGTTCCATACGGTCAAAAGAAAGGAAGTTTGAAATCTAGAGTGTACAGAAAGTCCAGGTCGTAAAACATTGCCGGTGGTTTCTGTGGCTGCAACCTGCATTTCACTTACATCCCGGAGTCACCCTTACTGTGCAACATGAGTTAACATCGAAATGACTTTTCAGGGCGATGGCAGCTCTAAATCTTGGCTCAGAGGGGCTGTGTGCTTCCCTGAGTGGGTGCCGCTGGCTCTTGAGTGGAGCCTGGGTTCTCAGCGAAGGATGTTTGCAGGAATGAGGTGGGTTTTGTGCCTTCCAGGCCACCCAGAGTGCCATGTGTAACTGTCTGATAAACTCTGTGCTTTCACTGGGCGGTGTTTTGGCCAGCTTGTTTAAAGGGGGGTGGGGAAGAAAAGGCAAGTAAGCAAGTATGGTGTGTTAAATGTTTATCTTTTTACATGAATTTTTGGAAGATCTAAGTGTGATTTCAAATTCTTGGAAGAACTAGAAGTTGTTTCTCCGGGGAGATGTTTTTTGGTGTAAGTTTCCCTCCCCTCCGCCCCAAGGCTTGGATGGTAGCTGTGGAAATGATCGTATGACTTCGTAAGTACACTCTTTTCATCAGCCAAGCTATCATCTTTTTAAAAAATACATCCATTTATCTGTTTATTTATTAGTTTGTTCATTTTATTTCTCGGAGAGTGAGAGAAATAGGCATCCTCAAGAGAGTCTCATCCTGCAGCGCCCTCCCCACCCCCAGCTTTTCAGGCCGTGAGGCTCGTGCGCACGCGCAGGCACACACGCACACTGTGAGTTTCAGGGGAAGCGGGGTCTCAACCAGAGGAGAGCCAGCACTGCAGAGGGCCAGCCTCTCCACTGCGCCCTGCGTCCGGGCCACGGGTCGTTCTTTACTAAAAGCAAGGCATCTCGGGTCAAGGAAGAAATGAGTGTTAGAAGCTGTCCTTGTTCACTGTGCCGCCGGTCGGTGTTCAGATACTGTCCAGGTGTCAGTATTAACCCTTACGTCTTATCTTTATGGTCCAGGGCTTTTCAGCCTTTTCACTGTTGACATTTTGTACTAGATAATTCTTTGCTGTGGGGGCTGTCCTTCACAAGTATCCTTTATCTAAAATGCTTGGGACCGGAAGTGTTTCAGATTTTGGACTTTTTTGAAATTTTGGAATATTTGCACATGATAGTTAGATATCTTTAGACCCAAGTCCAAGCATGAAATTCACTGATGTTTCCTATACAGCTTTTATACATAGCCTGAAGGTAACTTCATAAATACCTCTGTATTTCTATGCTTTTCCATTTGTGATATGCCAGAGCTCAAAAAGTTTCGATTTGGGGTCTTTTGGATTTCAGCTTTGTGGATTAGTGATGCTCAGCTTGCATAGGTTGTTTAGTCTACACCTGGTCTCTACCTGCTGGGTGCCAGTGGTGCCCACCCCACCATTGCCGTGACAATGAAAAGCGCCCTCAGGCGCTGCCAAATATCCCCGTGGGGCACATAGCCCTTGGCTGGGGACCACCAGCATGGTCGCGGAGGAAGTAAGGCGTCAGGATTTACATCCTACTTAACTTAATCGCTGTCTACTTTCAAGGCAGGTAGTCCCACCTGGGCGACAGAGGGCTGTTAGAAGAAACTCTTTTCCTAAACAGTAAAAACACAATGGAATCTCGTAGCACTCGCTGTCGCTAACCAGATCTGTTATGTTGAAAGTGAAATCGGTGAGTTGAGACCTGAAGTTAGGTTGAGGGCCTGGGAGGTGATTTTCTGGAAAGACTGGCCTCAGTGCATCGTAGGCGAAGGGCGGGAACCGTACGGTGCTTCCAAGGTGAACCAGTTACGGTCGTAAATCAAAGAACAGGAAGCAGTTCTCCTAAAATAGCCGCCAGCCCTTCCAGGCCGTGCTGGCTGCACACCAAGTGGCGGTGTGGCCTCCTCTGGGCGGCTGAGTCTTCAGATGAGACACCCGCCTGCTGCGGAGAATCTGGAGAACCAGCCACAGCCGTAGCAAAACCCTCCCTTGATGTGTTTCAGTGACTACAAGGTATACACCCGCCTGCAAATCGGTGGTTTTCCTTGCACGTGGTTCAATTTCCCGCCCACTGTTGCCGATGTGAAAAGATGCTCTCTTTTTATTAACACTGACAGTGCAGATCAAACGAGACCCAGAGAGCCGTGTCCCAGACTAGGCCTCGAGCAGCGGATGCTGCCCTTGCATTCATCTGGGATAACAGGTGACAGTTTTAAATAATGCAATCACAATTCCTTCACGGAAAGTGGGTTAAGGCTGGCGATTGATGCGTCACTCGGTGTTCCGTATTACAAAGTACTTGTCTCACGTAATTTTTAGTACTTCGTTCAAGCATAACTGCCGATATAATACAATCGTGTTAATTCATTGTTAAACATATTTTTTACTAATTACTTAACGGGAGTGGATTATAAATCTCCTGCCAAAAACATTGCCTTGCTTATACTAGACAAGAAATTAATCATTTTGGGATCTGTTAAAAATAAAGTTTGGATGATTTCATTCAGCTCTCGGATAATTAGATTAATATGAACTGCTTCTGCACCGTGTAAAATACCTTTTAATGCATTTTTAAAAAGACTATAAAATAATAATTAAAACTTAGAATTATAGTCAACGTTCAATGATCATTTCAGTGGCCATTGCTCACAGAGAGAAGGGTATTATGGAAAATAATAAAGTAATTAGGACAAAAATACAAGAAGCCTCAGCCATGCTCCTCCTCTCCCTGTCTCGCCTTACCATTTTGTCTGCAGTGGGAGGGGACCGGCCAGCAGAAGGGGGCATGCTACAGCCTAAGAGAATGCATTCCACTTGGAGAAAATTGTGAATTAACCATTTTTTCCCTAACCATTTCAATGGGCTCTAATTCAAGTATATTACTATATGAAACCTAGAAAGAGTAATGCATCTCTTGCTGCATGTGTCATGAGAAGGTAGTATTCTGAAGAAGTGTGAGAGGATAGGGCTGGCAGGTGGCATGGTGGTTAAAGGCACTACACTCTCACTTGGCCTACCGTGGTTCAGGTCCCGGACCTGGCAGCTTGCTTTCTCACTTTCTCCCCCTCTATCATCAAATTAAATAATAATAGAAGTTAAATAAAATAATTATTTTGGAAAAAAAGCTTAGGAAAGAAAAAAAAAAGAAGTATGTGAGGATGGCCACCAGCATGTGTCATGGGGCAGAGGCCTCCTTGGAAATGCCTGGGACGTCAGATGCCTTTCGGGCTTGTTTTTCCTGTACCTTTACAGATACTTCGGCTCGTGCCTCACTTAGGCATGAGTTCATTTGTCAAGGATTTCTGTTCAGGTTACTGTTTGCAGGTTTGTCCCTGGAATAAAAAGAGACAGCTAAAACGGTCCCTCCAGAAATTACAGCAGAAGGATTCAGAAATAGGAGGCCAATTTATCCAAGTGTTTGAGGGAGGCTATCAGCTCTGTTTGTAACCTATATTCATGTTTAAACACTTAGCAGGCAACTCTTGGTGTGTAGTTTCCTTGAATCATCTGATTTTGTTTCCGCCTAGCTGTAGACATTCCCAGGAGCACTGCAAATCCTTGCCTTCTGTTTTGACTTTCTAAAAATCATCCTGGGCCCCTATGCACTTGTGCAAACATGGAAAGAATCATTTTTGAGGTAGGTAGCTGAGGATGAACAGGTAAACACACTCCTCCTTATGTTTTCTGTTAGGGCGAGACTAATAGCTGTTAGACTTTCTCTAGTTCTATCCAGATCCGAACAGCTGTTAGTGCTTAGACTTCCAGAGTTTCTAAGTCTGTTGGTGTGAAAACAAATATAAATCTTTAGTATGTGAATCTTTTTTTTTAGAGAGAGATTTTGCTATAGGGCACATGTGCAAGACAGAGAGGTAGAGAGACAGAAAGCGAAAAATCACCCCCTGGGGGGATAGCCACACTGCAGTCCCTTCTCTATTCTCCTTTGGGGATTTTGGGCATGCATGCACACACACCCGGTGTGAGTTTTAAGCCACTGGGTCTGGGACTCAAACCACGCTCAACCTTGTGGGAGTCCAGCGATGTAACCGCTACACCATCTGCTGGTCCCTAATCTGTGAATCTTTAAATGCTTATTATAGAAGAAGCCATTGGTTGAGTTGATTGGGACATGGAACTAGAGGCCAGAGCCACCAGGTTGAGCTCGGCTTCTAGCATTTGGCTTTGACAGGCTCCATGATGACACTGCACTATGTTAAAAGAGGTGGTCTTCAGGCGCCCGGGCCAAAGAGAGTCTCTCCTCCCATTTCTGAGTGAGCGTCGACACCTGGCAGACACCAGTAAATAACAGGCCACAGACACATAGCCCACGGGGTCACTAGCAGAGAAGTGCGTGCAGGGTATTAAGGCTGAGTGGAGTAAGCAGAGGGTAATTTCTAAGATAAAATCGATAAAGACAGTGGGCCTCTGGAATGAAAATGACCACAGGGTTTTAGGGCCTCTGAATGTGAGGAAAGCCCACAGTCTCGTGCTGTCCACACTGCACAGATCTGGGGAGACAGCTTTCTTTGGGGTGACACCTTTTGTTATTGTTGCTCCACGTGTTTGCCTGCAGAGAAACACCTTTTAGAAAGTTTCAGAAAACGTTTGTTTCTGGGGCAGACTGACAGGCTACTCCTGATCTGCAGGGCTGTGGAGACGCAGAGGGAGTGCCCAAGCAGGGGTGGAACAGAGGCTTCCTGTGGAAGAAGAGCTGCACCAGAAGAACATCCGTGTGTGAGGCCTTGGCGTAGGGAAGCTCACATGAGGGTGCGAGGAGACCAGAGCAGACAAGAGCAGGACTCAGGAGATGGCAGAGCCACGAGATGCCTCGATTGCTCTCCTGCTGAGCACCGAGGAGCACCTTCCTCCCCCCTGCACCCGGGGGGGGCCGAGATGTCCCTCCCCGGGGTCCACACCTCCACCATGGCCTCATCCCAGGCTTTCTCTAGGCTGGCTTTCCTTGCAGTGTTTGCACATCCTAACCCGTCCTCTCTTCTGTTCGGTTTCCCCGTTGCCAGTGTTAATGACTGAGAGGTCACCTCTCTCTTTACTGTCTTCCTGTGTCCCCACATTGTTGGCACCTCGCATTTGCTTTGGCAAAGGCCATGGCTAAGTTCCATGCTGTAAACCCGGGTCCTTGGAAGGCAGGCTGTGGTGTAAGGTAGATAGGGGCTTGAGTCTTGGCTGTACTATTGTACAAGCAAATGGGGTGACACCAGGCAAGGCCCTCGCCTTCGCTCACCCTCACGTGCTCCTTCGATGGCGAAGATCCAGCGTGCTGAAGTGGGAACTGGGCAGTAGGGACGTGAGCGAGAGCGCGACGCATCCGTGTGCTGCTGGGCTCGGGACGTGCCCTGCGAGGGACAGCGGCCTCGCCTGGCAGCGCCCGCTCGGCCCGTGGCTCTCCTCCGGGTGCTGCAGCAGCTCCGTCTTCCCCCTCCTCCCTCCCTTCCTTCCTCTCCTTTTCTCTCTTCCTTCTTCACCCCCTCCTTCTCTTTTCTCTGCCAGAGGGTGTGGTGCTTGCCAGAGAGAAAGCCCCTCTCGATGGAGTGCGGTCACACT